CAACTTGAGGCCATTTCCTCTCGTCCTATCCCTAGTTACTTGGGAGAAGAGACCGACACCCACCTCGCTACAACCTCCTTTCAGGTAGTTGTAGAGAGCGATGAGGTCTCCCCTCAGCCTCCTTTTCTCCAGGCTAAACAACCCCAGTTCCCTCAGCTGCTCCTCATAAGACTTGTTCTCCAGACCCCTCACCATATACATATAAATATATGTATAAGGGCTTGCTCTGGATATGCACACACCCAGAAGGCATGCATGCTGCGTGCACAGCATCAGTGCTGCTCCAGCATCACAGGCTCGTGCACAAAACTGACCATACCGTTCTGCTGAATTTGTCCTATTTTAAATGACCAACTTAAATTTTGGTGATGAATCATCCTTTTCCCCAAAGCAAGAGGGACTGATGGCTATGCTGCACCAAAAGGGCTCTCACCTATAGGGTGAGGGTTTCCCACACCTGTACCCACCACCCTCTCCATCATCTGAGGCAAAAAGCCTACAGGTGGTATTTTACTCCCATAAGGGAGCGGGGAAGGGCATCCCCCTCCCTCTCCCTGTGTTCAGCAGTGCTGAGGCAAAAGCAAAGGGTTGTCCAACGTGGACGTCCAAAAGATGGAACAACAGCTTCCAGCGTGGTTTTGGAGGTTTGCTGTCACAGAGCAGCTGCCTTCCTCTGAGGATGGTGTTCCTGTCCAACAGTCCCAGAGAGATGCAGGCAGCCTCGCAGCAGGCTCGGAAGGGTGACTACACCACTGGGGACATGGGGCAGGTCCCCTTGCTGGAGGAGAGGAGATAGATTATTTTAGTCCTTGTTTCCTCTTTGTTTCACCCTAAGAACTGAGTAATCAAATGTGCTTAGTTTTGAGGACATTTTGAACATTTGCCCATGTCTAGCAATTTATTTACCTCAAGGGTCCTTTCTTTCTCTCCCCAGGAAGCTCCCGATGTCTTTAGCCGCAAATTAAGGAATATTTCCTTTCTTCTACGATTCAACAACTTCATGTCTCGGCTCTAAGTTACTGGTGAGATCCCAGATCACAACAGAGCACAGTAATTATCCTGAGGCATCCTTTACAGACCTCTAACATCCAGGCCAGGCAATTGCAACTGGGAGAAGTAAAATTCCCTTGTAGCTTGTGCTGTCTAGAGGATGCTTCCTACTCTTTTTACATCTTATTTTCCTGAGCTATGAGGAACTGTTTAGCCTTTAGCATGTTTTTGCCCAGGAGAGCTGGAAAGGCAAAATGATTTCTCTAAAGTAATTGTTCTACAGAGAGTGCACAACACTTTCTGAACCCGAGTCAGCACATAAATGCAAGCCGTTAAATGAGTAACCCAATGAGCATTAAAGCAGTTGGGAACCGAGACAAGCTGCACCCTGGCTAAAAATCACCCCGTGGAGTTCAGCCAGGGGTTCTGATGCCCTACAACAGCAAAATGGAGCGGTCCTGATGTCCTGTAATGGCAAAATGGAAACATTAGCTGATTAGCCGTGGGTTTTTATTGCTGATGGATGAATATTAACAGTCACTTCCACTCACAGGTAAAGGAGAACACAAATATTATGGTTGGTGAAATTGTATTTCATTAAAGTAATTGTGCGAGTTGCTGTTTATATCAGAGGAGATGACATTGTGGCCCTGTGAGTCAGCATGTGTCACACACCCACTGTATGTGCCTGTGAGCAACTACAGGTACCCCTCCCTGCTGCTCCCTTTCTGCGCGATCCCATCAAGGCAACCAGCCCTGCAATGGGAGCCAGCGTGGGCAGAAACCTCAGTGCTGGCAGCAAGTGTACTTCAGTGGAGATGGTTCCTCTCTTTTTTAACAAAATAGGTAAATGTAACACCTTTTTTTTTCCCCTTTCCTGAATGCGTGTGGAAACCTGAGCTGAAAATAAATCTGAAAATGTTTTCAGATGAAAGCTGGGGAGAGGAGAATTATGTTGAATACATCAGAAAAAACTGAGCTTCCTTGTGTGGCAATGAGGTGTGTTCATCTGTAAAATAAAATTCTGAGAGGAAAAGAGGAATTGCCTCTGGGATATTTAAAATGGACAGAAGGTGATAATCCAGTCCCATGGGACAAATGAGCCAGCTGCTCTGATTGCACCATGCCCTCTGACAGGGAGCAGGAAGGAGCCCCAGTGCAAGGACCTTGGACATGGATGTAGGTATGGTACAAATGTCACAGTATGTGTATGATGCGTAGCAGAGAGCAGCCTTTGCCCCAAAGTGCCATTCCAGGCTTTGAAAGCTATCAATTCTCACAGCCTCCTGACTGAAGGGTTGGTCCTTTCAGCCCATTTTCATAGGGAAATCTGAGCTCACGTTGATGTGGCGTGCTTGGAGCCAGGCGTGTGCTCCCTGCCTCCCCCCTGCCCCACTCACGGCTGGGGACATGCTTCACCGAAAAGAAATGGGACGGCAGCAGTAACACAGATGAGCTCATTTGACTTGCCTGGTTTCTCCCAACCGATGAATCGCTCAACAGCCCTCAGTCAGCAGAGAGGGCAGCTCACAGGCATCCACCGATGGTTCTCGGTTGAGAGTTAGCATCTCCGGGAGGGAGGGACCCAGCACTACCGGAGGCTGTCACTGGTTGGCACGTGGGACAGCCCTGAAAATGAAAAATGAGGTGGAAAAAACAGCTGCTGGAGGCTGCATCCATCTGCTCACCTAGAAAAGCTACCAACTGCCCCAGAAGATAAGCACTGGGTGAGAGACAGACCTGTGAAAGCCGTGTGCCAGTGGGGAAGCCCCAGCACAGGGTTTTCCCCCTGCCACAGCAGATCTCTTCCATCCCCATCCTCCTACCTTGACCGACTGCGGGCTGAGCTGCGTCCCCTGCTCCGTGGCAGCAGAAGGGGGGGTGAAGGGAGACGGGCTGTGCCAGGCAGCCCAGGGATTTCCCAGGAGGAGCACCCCTGGCCAAAAGAACATGATGGACTGTTTCTGGATGATCTTCCAGTACTTCCAGTCCAACTCAGAGTCTGTAATGAATGGGATCTGTGGGCTGTTAGCCCTGGCTAGCGTAAAAATGTATACCTGCTTTGAGTTCAGTTGCCCCTGTCTGCCCCGGTACAACATGGCATACAGCTTGGGGATCATGTTCGTACCCCCTGTCGTCCTCTTCCTCTGCGGCCTCATCCTTAACAGACAGTCCCTGGTGATGCTGGAGGAGTGGAGGCGACCGCAGGGGCACAGAAAGAAGGACCTAGCTGTCATCAGGTGGGGTTTGCAACAGGAGTGGCGTCCCTCCTTTCACCTCCCGCGTAGCTGTCTCACCTCCATAGCTCTGAACCTCCTGGTAATTAATTTTCTTCTAAGCTCAGCTCCCGAGACCTTTCCCCATGAGCCTGCAGGGGCAGGGGCATGGTAAATGCATTTACAACAGCAGAAATGAAGGCAGAGCCTCATCCTATCCCAGCAAAGGAGGGCAGGAGCACCTCGACACCAATGGCTGGATTTATGCTGCCACCCTGGGAAACTGCATTGCTGCCTGCCCTATCGTGCACATGCAGGGTTTCTCCTGGAGCTTACACATGCAAAAAGATGAGGCATTTCCACTTAAATGTGCAGAAAGAGTGGCATTTCCATCATGGTCATTCTTTATTGATATCCTTGTGGTTTCCCTCCCTTCAGTTGAGTTTTTACTGACTTACACTGGTGGAAGGGAGAGGAGAATCACATTCAATCTGTTACGTACAAAGTTTTACCCAGTGCACAGGTTGGCACAGAGTGGGGCAAGAAAGGCTGTAGAGAAAAGCGGTTTTCCAGGTAGAAACTGAGCTGATGAGAAAAGAAAGAGTGAATGAAGAAGGCAAGGGAGAGCTGACAAGGATTTGTTCATGGGAGACATAAGTATACAGTTGAGGCAAGCATAATGAGAGGTCCATGCACTGTACCGAATGCCCGCAGCATCACTGCCACACTCTGGCACAGATTTCACCGGGAGGCAGGACCCACAAAGAGATCCCAGAGCAGAAGAGGCATTAGCTGGAGCAATGCTGGGGACAGTCCTGGGAGTCAGCTCCCTGGCTCTGGGAGGGCTGCTTGGCATAGGGCAGCCTGCATCCATCAAGGCTCTGGATGATGAGAAAGCTCCCAGCATTTACCCACTCACTTCTCTCTCTCCTGCCCCAGGTACATGTGTTCCTCCATCATGCAGCGAGCCATGGTTGTCCCTGTCGTCTGGATCGTAGTCACCCTCCTGGATGGCAAATGCCTGATCTGCACTTTCAGCGGCTCTGTGGATCCCAAGAAGTTTGTGGGCTTTGCCAACGCCAGCCCAGTGCAGGTGCAGCAGCTGCTGGCCAAGATGCCCTGCAAGGACGATGAGCTCATGAGGAACAACACGTCCCACAAGGCAGTGTCCAGGTACCTGCGCTGCTGGTCTCAGGTAGGTCACTGCTGGCAGAGCCCCCCGTGTTGGTGAGGTGCCCAGGGCATGCGTCATCTGCTCCTGCTCTTTCTTGATTTGTCATAGCTTCACCACTGTCAGGCTGGGAGCAAGACTGCTTTTTGCTTCTTTATGCCCCCAAATGGTGCCAGTGATAATCTCCAGAGTCACTCAGGTAGGGAAAAGGAAGGAAATAAATGGTTTAATTAACAGAACTTTGTTTCTAGAAGAAGTGGCAACTTCTAAACCCAGATAATAAAAAGCAGGTTGCAAGGAATATAGGTGTCTCCTAAGGCCCTGTCCAGTGTCAGAAGACCTTTCTAACTGCTACCCTCACAGATAGGACTCACTGTTTTAAGGACAGTGCAAGCTGAGGCAGATGAAAGCAGCTTGCTCAGGAATGATGGGAGAACAGGACACAATGGGGAGTGGAGCCCTGGCCAGCCCCTGCTGTTGATACAGGAGTGCCAGGTCAGGGATGAGGACCGGTGGGAGAGCATTGAAAACAAGCCCTTCCTTCTTACCAAAGGGAGCTGCATGTAGTCTGGGCTGTCTTCACCCTGCTGCCAGGACTCCTGGGCCCTGGAACCAGATGAAGATCTCACTGGAGATAAGTGAGCGCCAAAGGAGAGCACTGAAGTCCCCTTCCCTTGGGGCGCTCCCGTGCTCAGAGCAGATGCCTGGCTGCTCCAGGCTAACTTTGCAAACAGTTATCCTACTGAACTATTGATGCACAGATAAATGTCCTATATTCACTGGGAGGAGATTACACCAACGCTCTGAGTGCAGTTTGGGGATGCTGGACTTCAGGGACAGATCAAGGACAGGAGTCCAGATATGCCACATCTCCCCGCCCGCCACACAAATTCCCTGTCTCGGTGATACAGGCAAACAGCTCTCGTGCCTGTCCTTGTGCCTGTCTTGCTCCTGTTCCACTGCTTATTTCTTATCACCCAGGCACTCAGCTGGAGCATTTTGTTGATCCTTATCGTAGCAGTTTTCCTCACCCGCTGGCTCAGACCTTGCTTCAACCAGGCCACCCTCCTGCAGGCACATCACTGGAGCAACTACATTGACATCGAGCAAAAGATTTTTGAGGAAACCTGCTGTGAGCACAGCCGGCTCTTTGCTCACAAATGCATCCTCCACTTCTTTGAAAGCATGCAGCAAGAGATCAAACTGCACAGCTTCAGCTTGCCTAGGCAGGGAGAGGGGGCTGAAGGAGAGGAAGATCTTCTCCAGGGCATCACAGATCAGGACCAGGTGAATAAACTTCTGAAAATGTGGTACTATGAGAAACCTCCCCTGGATGTCAGCCAGGCGACCCAGAAGCATCCCCTGGGGCAAGAGAGAGCCCTTCTGCCCTGTGCAGGCAGCCCCGGTACCCGGTCCAAATTCCCCCAGCACACCAACATGTAAAGGGGGCTTTGTCCTGCAGACACTGAAGGGGCACTGCCATACCTCTGCAGAAAACAAGGACCAGCAGGTAGATGACAGTGGTGCTCACATCTTCCTCCAAAACCATAACCCCAAAGGCTCCACTCCAGGGCATGCCTAGCAAAACCTCCAAAATAAACTAGCTCTCAAGATCCAAAGGTCCCAGACTCAGTCATTGTTAATGACATTTCTCAACCACATAGCACTTTTGTCATATTAAAGAGTTTGCAGCTCCTTACAGCTGTGATAAAACCCTTCTGGCTAGAGGAAGGATTTAACCAAGGCAGCAACATCTGGCTGTGTATGCAAACCGACTGGAGTGGCAGCTTCACAGAGGTGTGAGGAGCTCCTGCCCGTTCCAGTGAAACCTGGTTCAGAGTTAGCAGTGCTGACACTGAAATGATTTAATTGGCAACTCTTTTAGTACCACACCAACATGTTTACTCAAAAAGGCAAAACCACTTCCTACATCTTCCCATCTGCTGAGAGCTCTGGCTGCCCCCAGCCCAGCTGCCGAACTGTTCAGCCTCCCTCTAACAACCCATCAATGCTTCCATGCATTTTCAAAACAAAATATGGCAACACACTGAAATTCATGGAGCAGCATAAATTTAGTTGACGATATCTCTGGATAAGTGTTCCTGGATTGGGTTGGATTTGCAGAAGGAAAAGGAGATGGAGGCTTTGCTTAACATATCTAGAGCTATGGGACTGTGCTGGGGTTCAGGTGGCTGCTCTGAGCACTGGCATTGGGCCATGGAAAGGACACACTGACTCTGCCTGAGAAGTCTGAACACAGATTTTAAACACTCCCCTGCTAGATTTTAGTACAAACCAATCTATCCAGAGGATCATCCTTGCATCACCTAGTTGGGCATTTCCATCCTTAGTTTAAAACCTGTTTGAATGTAACCATGTATCTGAGCCTCTAATGCTAAATACTTTCTTACTTGCCTTTTTCCAGCCCCTCTTGTAGATGGTGCCAACCATGGTGCCAGTTTGACTGATATTTCTGTCCAGCATCGCTGCTTGGATGCATTAAAATCTTTACTGCAAACTAAACTAGTACAGACACATATATTCCTCCAGGCTGAGGCTCACACTGATGCCCACTTTGTCCCTGGGAGTGAGGGGTGCAAGGTGGAGGGGCTGCGACGAGGGGGGGTGAAGAAGAAATATCTCCTTGGCCATGCATGGACAGATGGGGCAAGCAGGGCCTCCAGGAGGAAAGAAGAGGGTGGGAAAGGGGCAAAGAAACCTGCCACCACCTTGTGACTAAATCCAAAACAAGGGGTCGAATTGAAAACCCATATTAATCCCCCAAATTAACTTGTCGAGCTGCTGGGATGTGGGTCACCTCCTCCCCAGGATGTTTGTGTGCACGGGGTCAGGGAGGGAGGAGACGCTTGGCAAAACACAGGGAGGCCAAATAACTCCACGGCCCACCCGTGGGCAGCTGTACCCCTCTGCCAGTCGAGGCCTGGCCAGGAGCTGCGGGGTGCAGAGGGATGGGCTGCAGAGCTTTTCTTATTTACATAGCAAAATCAGCTCTGGCTGAATCCCTGAGCTCCCCGGAACGTGCTCAGAGAGGGCACAAAGCCAGCTGTGGCCCATGCTGGTTGGGAATGACACAGCACTCTTCCCACCAAGAGCTCTTTAGGTCCAGGGAGCTTCTGAGCTCTTTTGAAATCAGCATTGCACTTTGAATTTCGTCTCTGGTTTACTTTTATCAGACACAACATCACAAATCGCAGGCTGCGACTCAGTTCAGACCCACCACTCGGTACTAGTCAAATAGCTATTTTCCTAACCGGCTCAGAGCAGAGGTCCACAGCTCCCCTTTGCATGCTGCTTTCCATGTTCTCAGGTTTTAAATCATCCCAGAGCAGCCACAAAATACGAAATGCAAAAAAGGGGAAGAGGAACAGCTTTGTTAACTGTACCGGGAGGGAGAAAACCGGAGGATTTAAGGGTGCTGCCATAGGCTTTTGCAGGTCTACAAAGGCTCACATGCTGCTGGGAGGGTCAGTCTGGTCACAGGGTAGCTCCAGTTGGACGGGGCCATGGGTGTTCATCTGTTCATCCCTCCCAGCCTCCCAAGTCCTGTGCTGTGTTCCCCTTTGAAGCCAGAGAACTCTTCTCCATTTTGGAAAATGCTATCTGGCACCCCATGACGGGACAAGAGGCAACAGGCACAAACCCAAAATGCAGGAGATTCCATTTAGACAGAAGAAAATACTGATTTACTTCAAGGGTGATGGAACAGGCTGCCCAGAGAGATTGTGGCACCTCCATCCATGGAGATATTCACAGCCCTATTAGATGTGTCCCTGAGCGTGCTTTGAGCAGGGGGGGTGGACCAGACAATCTCCAGAGGTCCCTTCCCACCAGCTCTGCTAGGAGTGTGTACCCTCCTGAAGTGGGAGCAGATATTCACAGCCCTATTAGATGTGTCCCTGAGCGTGCTTTGAGCAGGGGGGGTGGACCAGACAATCTCCAGAGGTCCCTTCCCACCAGCTCTGCTAGGAGTGTGTACCCTCCTGTGGAAGTGGGAGCAGAAAGGGTCGTTCACAAACTTTAGCAGCTCTCTGTCTCTCAGGGGTGATCTGATGCCTGACCTACAGACATGTCTGACATGCTCGGAGATCCTCACCTGCCAAGAGCTCGTGAAACAGCAGGGCTGACTGCAAAGACAACTTCCCCAGTCTCTTCCCAAACTTTCCTGATGGGAATTGTGACTGTTTTAATGTCCCTCCTCTCTATATCCTGCATTGACTGGGACACGCAAAGCCCTCCCCAACTCCCTGGCTTGGTGTCTGTCTTGGCATCCAGGTGCAGGACCCCACGCTGGGAGGGACTTTGGCATGTACCATCTCTCCCAGGACCTGGTTTCCAAAGCACGAGCAGGTTGGGATTGTGGGAGGAAGCACCAGCTCTGCCATCTCTTGCAAATCAGTTGGAGTGAACTTTCCTGTTGGCAAGCTCACGAAAACAAGGTCCTCCCTAACAAGGCAACACGGAAAGAAAAACACAGGCATTGGCTTCTATGGGCTCTGTTTTGAATCCCACTGATTTATTGTTGGCTTCAATGAGAACTGCCAGTGCTGTACACCAAGCAGGCTCAGACCCCTCATTCATGTTTAATGAAAGACAGAGTTTTCCTGGAGATCAAAAAGCTCTCTGTGTTTTACGAGGTTGATTCATGCAGGCTTTGATGTGAACTGCCCTTCAAAAAGCCACTGGCCAGGTGAACAGGGAAGCCAGTCTGAGCTCTTAGCTAGCAGTACAATAAGCCTCATCTATATTCATGCAGCCAAATCTCTTCCCGTTTGTGAGATCATGCAATTAACCTCTCCACAGCAGGCAGAGCTAAGACTGCCCAGGTGTTACCCACGTGCTTTGTGCTCACCTCTGTGGTGGCATCTCAGGGTGAACTTGGCATTATCAACTGAGCCCCCGGGCTGGTGTCGGGGGAGACGTCAGAAACTGCAGTGCTGACTAATGGTCAAAACACGTGGTTTGGCTTCCTACCTCTGTACTGACGCACTACAAAACCTTGGGGAAAAGTATCTCCCGCATGCCACCCACCTATGTACAGCTTGCCTTGGTGATGTGTCTCACAGCCACCAATGCAGCCGTGCAGGTGCCCAGACAGTCAGATGTATCTTGATACTCATGTCAACAGCACAGTTGTGGACCGGAGGGACTGAACGCCTTGTGGATAGTCCGTAATGCAACCATCTGTTTTGCAGCCACTTGTAGGCCCAGTATCCCCCCATCTTTTGGCCACCTTGAGGAAGCAACCTAGTGCATCAAAGCTGCTTTGTGAACTGGGAATAGAGATGCAGGAGAGCACCAACAACACAATCCACTTCTTTTAGCTTTGTGCTGTAGGAGCTAAGCCTGGCCCAACCATAGCTATCACACCTCATTAGTGTTTGTCTCAGTTCTGGCAAGCTGGGGAGGAGTCTGTCTGGTCGGCTCTGTGCTGGCAAATGTGCACAGGACCTCTGCACTGGAAAGCCCCTGGGTCTGCAGAGCTGACAGCGATGAGCTGAACTAAGCCATGCCCTTGTGAAAGGGGAGAGGGATGGAAGTGATGGGCAAGCTTTGCACCCCATTATCAACACATGGGACATGTCCATCACAGCTGGCTCTGCTTGGGCTGCTCCTGGTGTGCAAAGAACAGGGAAGGCAATGCAGGTATTCAGGTCCGCTTGGGTCCAGGTCACCTGGTGTTGCTACTGAATTAATAAGCCCAGGTAAAGTGGCATGGCTAAACTGTCAGCAATCCTGTGCTGTACGGACCAGCCAGCCCAGCACCCGGCTAGCTCAGTCCTCCCTGCACCATGCAGGGGTTGCATGGGAAATGTGCCCTTAGACACCTTAGCCTCAGGTCAAGGCATATGGCCAAATCCCAGCCCCAGCCCCTCCTGCTAAATGGATGCATGTTGCTGGCTCAGGTAGTCCTTGCTCTGCCCTTCCCTGCAGGATTCGAGTGATCTTCAGAGGAGCAGCAGCTCCACTGCACCCTCAGCCCCCAGGGCTGCTGGTCCCCGCTGGCCTGATGGGCAGGAAGGGTTCTGCACAGTCCATGCCTGCAGGTGGTCTGGTACTGCTGGGAAACACAGTCCCTCGGGGAACAGCGGCTGCCCTTGGGCCAGGGAGGTCACTGGCAGGATTTACACATCCTTCTTGCATTCCCAATTCCTGCACATCCCAAATTTGTCAAGGGGCTGGGATTATACCCACAAGAGGCGGCTGCAGGAAAACCATTCAGCCCCCGTCACTGCCATTCAGAGCAAAGTGCACTCAAGCCCTTCAGAAATGCTCATTGAAAGTGGGTGAAAAGAAGAAATCTCAGGGGAAAACCTGAATCTCAGAGCTTTGCTGGGCAGGGAGCATCTCCTGAGAAAGCAGAGGCACCCAGGGCTCGGATGCTTTCAGCAGGACCTGCCTGCGGAGCAGGGTGCGTCCTTCAC